CAATGGCATCCTGGCCTGAATCAGAAACACTGTGACCAGCAGGAGTAGGGAGATGATTGTGCCACTGGACTTGGCACTCATGAGACCACACCTCAAGTATTGTGTCCAGTTTTGGGCACCACAGGATGGTGGATGCCCAGAGAAGGGCAATGAGGCTGGGGAGAGGGCTGGGAAACATGCCTTGTGAGAACAGGCTGAAGGAATTTGGGTTGTTTAGTCTGGAGAAGAGGAGGCTGAGGGGAGACCTTATTGCTCTCTACATGTACCTAAGAGGAGGTTGTAGTGAGGTTGGTGTTGGTCTCTTCTCCCAAATTATTGATGATAGGATGAGAGGAAATGGCCTCAAGTTGTGCCAGGGAAGGTTTCCATTGGATACTAGGAAGAATTTCTTAACTGAGAGAGTGGTTAGGCACTGGAATGGGCTGCCCAGGGAGGTGGTGGAGTCATCCCTAGAGTTGTTCAAAACATGAGTAGATGTATCACTTGAGGCTATGGTCTAGTGGTTAGTGAAGTGTTGGGAGGAAGGTTGGATTTGATGATTCTAGAGTTCCTTTCCAACCATAGTGATTCTATGTTTCCTCCATCAGTTGTAGTCATCAATATGTAACTAAGGCACTGTCAGTATTTCGGGTCTCTGTCTGTACCGCCTGTTGTGGGCCGAGTTACGTCCTTTGTGAGATCATTGGGGGTGGCGTCAATTATGTACCAGCTGGTTGAATTATTTGTACCCCGGCAGTCATTCATGTCACGATGTTTTTGCTTACAATACAGTCTGCTTATTGGTTTCTCTTCCTGCTGGTTGTGTCGTTCCTGTTAGGCCTAGTCACTGGCAGAACACTAGCAGATTCAGTACTTCTTTTTATCATGTGGTGGGACAACTTCTTATTGCTGTGCATTTTTAAGAAAGATAGTTGAGGCTGGTAAATAAGATGAGTTGGTCTGTGAGCTTGTTTAGAATAAAACAGAAGACATGACCCTATGAGAACAGACTGAGAGAGTTGGGGTGTTCAGTCTGGAGAAGAGAAGGCTCCGAGGTGACCTTATTGTGGCCTTCCAGTATCTTAGGGGGGCCTACAAGAAAGCTGGGGAGGGACTTTTTAGGATGTCGGGTAGTGATAGGACTAGGGGGAATGGAGCAAAACTAGAAGTAGGTAGATACAGATTAGACATTAGGAAGAAGTTCTTCACCATGAGGGTGTTGAGACACTGGAACAGGTTGCCCAGGGAGGTGGTGGAAGCCCCATCCCTGGAAGTTTTTAAGGCTGGGCTGCATGGAGCTCTGAGCAACCTGATGTAGTGGGAGATGTCCCTGCCTATGGCAGAGGGGTTGGAACTAGGTGATCTTTCAGGTCTCTTTCAACCCTGACAATTCTATGGTTCTGTAAAGCACTTTATAATATTTAGAGAAGGTAAATATCTAAGCAAAGTTAAAACTTGCATGCCATAGTAACAGATGTAGCTATTGGGAGCTTTCCTTTTCTCGTTCAGCAATACCACAAGGCAGCCAGTTTGCACCCAAGCTATGCAGATATTTTTGTTTTATTCCACACACATGACCTCCCCCTCCAGCCCTTTAAAGTGTCCCTTTCTCTATTTTCATTGTGCTGATAGCAGTGATGGCCCTTCTAAAATTGAAAAGGTTCTTTGTGAGTCATTTACCTCTCTTCAGAACAGGTTTAGTTCCTAGAGGCTAAAATGACAGTGGCTTTTCTTTCACCTCTTGCTTTGGCCACATGCTGCAGCAGGTTTACACTTTGCCATCCTGGCTAAGGGAGCAGTGGAGTGCTCTGTGGGAAACTGTGCTCTGTGTTCCTAGGACAGATGCAGTGTAAACTTACGTTTGTTAAGATCTTTGCTTCTTATGAGTTTTGTTAGAAGTACTGAAAGATTGAAAAGCTGAATTGCTGTTGCTTTCAGTGATGAAAAATTATGGTTTAGTATCTTTTTTTTTTTTTTTTACTGTTGATGCTTAGGTCCTGTAGCATAGTTCTGAGCAGCAGCACTTGCAGAGACTGTAGATAGTGACTATCTCATATCTCTACTTCTAGCACAGCACTTAGATCACCAGATTTTCTTAATGTATCTTGCTACATTCTTGGAGACCTACTTTGCGTTCTATCATCATGTCAAAAGTCTTAGGACAGTAGTCCATTCTGTCATCTTATGATTTAGAGTGTGAAGGTGGCATGAAGCTCAGTAAATATAGATTGATAAGGTCACAGTATAATTTGACTGTTGTACAATCCATACTAAACCAGCCTCTTCAGCTCACTTCTTGGGACACAATACAGCATGGAGTTCATTCAGTACTAGCTCTTTTGTCCAAATACCTCTTACTTCATTCATACCTTATTCTTTATATAATATGACACTGGAATGGTCAACAGACTTATTTTTGTATAATAACTTTTTTCCACAAGATGATAGTCCTAAAATGACAGAGTGGTTTTAAGGATCATTTGCCATAAGGCACAGTTTGATCTAGAAGGCCGTATATCATGTCATATAATTAATAAAGATTTTGTGCAATTCACTTTAAAGTCTGTGTAAGGAAGATGAAAACCAAATTGAGTAGAGGTTAAGTACGAGCTCTCGCATGGTTCCATCATAAATCAAGTTTAACTGAGGAAGGATAGAATTAAATTCATATGGTAGTTGCACAAGCAATGTGATTTGTTCTGTTTTATTCAAATAGGTGTAGTTTATGCCATATGACTGGTTACTTGTACACAGATAATCTTGTCTATCACCTTTTATTCCCCAAATCTATCTACAGTGCAGCTTCTCAAATCTTATCCTTCCTCTCAGTTTCTATTGAAAACAGATAGAAATGAAGGTCTTATTCCTCTTTTTTTCACGGCTTTGTATAGATTGTGGCTTAGGTCCAAGAATAGAGGCCTGATTAACCAAGGTAATATGAACAACTATACTGAGAAAAAGCAGCTGTGGCTTTCCTGCAGACCTTCACCAAAGCTATGTCCACAAAGTGAGACAGTTAAAAATCTACATCATGAGCTGTGTGTAATAAAGACAGTAGATGCTTTAGTATGTGGTGGCAAAGAACTGATTACCAACGCTTGAAGTGTCATAGTGCTGTATGAATTTTGTCATTCCTTACTGAAGTTAATCCTTTTTTATTTTATTTTTCAAAAAAAAATGCATTGTTTTTTAAAAATAAATCACGTTTTTCTTTCATTCACTTGTGACTATTTAATTTCTTCACATGTACGATGGTTGTAATAATTCATAGGAATGTTGTAAAGATTTATTAACCTGTTGGTCAGAGCTCTTGGATGAAAAGGTTTTTGTTTTGTCTTGTGTAGCATTTAACTAAACTTGATTCCATTTGATTTGCCTGAACAAATCTGATCGGTTTCTCTTGCCTTTTCTTAGTAGTGTTATTTTCCTCTGCCTTGTCAAACTGTGATGACACACTTTCCATTATGTTTATTGAAGTTTATTTCTCTTAGAGTGTGAATATAGAGAAGCTGCAGGGAACATCCATCAACATATCTACTGAAGATGGGCTGCTGAAAACAAAGTATCTCTATGCGGAATCATCATCTCTGTCTTCAGTATCTGGTGATATTCTGCTCGGAAGTATTCATGGTAAGAAGGAAGTACTGTCACATTGTTGCTGTCACAAATTCAGCTGCTTTGAAGGTATTCATAATGTTTGCAGTAACAAATGGACTAATGCTGTAGAATCATAAAATGGTTTGGGTTAGAAGGGGCCCTAAAGATTATCTAGTCCCCTGCCATGGACAGGGGCACCTGCCACTAGACCAGGTTGCATAAGGCCCCATCCAACCTTGTCTTGAGCATATCCAGGGAGGGAGCATCCACAACTTCCTGGGCAACCTGTTCCAGTGGTTCACAACCCTCATAGTGAACAATTCATTCCTTACATCTAATCTAAATTTACTCTCTTACAGTTCGAACCCATTACCCCTTGTCCTATCACTACAAGCCCTTGTAAAGAGTCCCTCCCTAGCTTTCTTGTAGGCCCCTGTCAGAATCATAGAATGGTTTGGGTTGAAAAGGACCTTAAAGATCATCTAGTTCCAACCCCACTGCCAAGGGCAGGGATGTCTGCCCCTAGACAAGGTTGCTCAAAGTGCCATCCAGCCTGGCTTTGAACACTTCCAGGGATGGAACTTCTCTGGACAATCTATTCCTGTATCTCATCAGCCTCACAGTTAAGAATTTTGTCCTAATATCTACTCTGAATCTATGCTCTTTCAGTTTGAAACCATTACCCCTTGTCCTATCACTACACTCCCTGATAGAGTGCCTCGCCACCTTTCCCTTTTCGAGTACTCGAATGATCTTATAAGGTCTCCCTGGAGCCTTCTATTCTCCAGGCCATACAACCTCAGCTCTCTCAGCCTGTCCTTATAGGGGAGGTGCTCCAGTCCCCTGATGATCTTCGTGGCCTCCTCTGGACCCACTCCAATGGGTCCATATTTGTCTTACACTGGGGACCCCAGTGCTGAACATAGTACTCTCATAGGGATCTCATGAGAGCAGAGTAGAGCAGCAGAATCACCTCTGTTGACCTTCTGGCCACACTGCTTTTGGTGCAGCCAAAGGATGCTTTCTGGGCTATGAGCATGCACTGCTGGTGCATTTTTTTTTTTCACCTACCAACACCCCCAAGTCATCCTCCACAGTGCTGTTCCCAATCCACTCATCACCCAGTGTGTATTTGTGCTTGGAAGACTAGTAATGGGGTGCAGACAAGTGAAATTAAATGATAAATCAGAATTCATGAGGGGCAGGCAGCCAAGGATTTGGGAATGAAACAGAAGGATGGAACAGGCATGGGAAGAACAAGCCATCCTGAAAAAAAGGAGGAGAAAAATGATCTGAGAGACAAATGAAAAACTCGGTGCTCAGGAAAACATTACCAAAATAGAGAAAAGTAAAATCACAAGCCAACCCCGTTTTAAATCACTTTATTAATCTCCTGAGCCTGAAAATGTCACATTCTGATATATTTCCCAATCCATGCACTGTTTGCTCCCTTGTAACAGCTGCAGAGCTGCTTCTGTGGTACATTACTTCAAACAGTGAGCCATAATATTAAAGCTAATCAATTTGGATACAGAAAGGCTACAAGAAGGTCTCCCTGGAGCCTTCTCTTCTCCATTTTGAACAACTGCAACTCTCTCAGCCTGTCCTTGTAGGGAGAGGTGTTCTAGCCCTCCAGTTGTCTTTGTGGCCTGCCTCTGGACCCATTTCAACAGGTCCATCCCATTCTTCTGCTGGGGGCTCAGGAGCTGGATGTGATACTCTGGGGGAGTCTCACCAGAGCAGGGTAGAGGGGTAGAATCAGGTCCCTCAGCCTGCTGACCAAGCTTCTCTTGATGCAGCCCAGGATACAGTTGGTTTTCTGGGATGCAGTCGCACCTTACTGGCTCATGTTGAACTTCTCATCAACCAGCACTCCCAAGTCTTTCTCCTCAGGTCTGCTCCCAATCCATTCTCTACCCAGCCTGTATTTGTGTTATAGACTGTCACTAAATCAATAGTGCACAGTATATGAACCAAACGCTTCTGTGTTTGTTAAAGACTAAATTGATGAGAATTAACTTGCCAAATAGCATACTGTATTTATTTTTTAAAACAGTTTTATAAGTACACTTGTGAAATAGCAAAAAGTGTATATTCACAGAATTCACAGGGGTTGGAAGGGACCACAAAGATCATCTAGTCCAGCCCCCCTGCCAGAGCAGGACCACCTACAATAGATTGCACAGGAGTGTGTCCAGGTGGGTTTTGAATGTCTCCAAAGAAGGAGGCTCCACAACCCCCCTGGGCAGCCTGTTCCAGGGCTCTGTCACCTTCACCAGGAAAAAGTTTTTTGTAATATTTTTATGGAACCTCCTATGTTCCAACTTGTACCCATTGCCCCTTGTTCTGTTATTGGACATCACTGAAAAGAGCCTGGCTCCATCCTCCTGACACTTTCCCTTGACATATTTATAGACATTTATGAGGTCACCCCTCAGCCTCCTCTTCTCCAGGCTAAAGAGACCAAGCTCCTCCAGCCTTTCCTCATAAGGGAGATGTTCCACTCCCTTAATCATCTTGGTGGCTCTGCGCTGGACTCTCTCAAGCAGTTCCCTGTCTCTCTTGAGCTGAGGGGCCCAGAGGTGAACACAATACTCCAGATGTGGCTTCACCAGGGCAAAGTATAGGGGCAGGAGGACCTCTGTTGACCTATTTGCTACTCCCCTTATAATACACCCCAGGATGCCATTGGCCGCCTTGGCCATGAGGGCACACTGCTGGCTCATGGTCATCCTGCTGTCCAATAGAACCCCCAGGTCCCTTTCTCCTACACTGCTCTCCAGCAGGGCAGTCCCCACCCTGTACTGGTACATGGTGTTTCTCTTTCCCAAGTGTGGAACTCGACACTTGCCCTTGTTGAACTTCATTAGATTTCTCCCCGCCCAGCTCTCCAGCCTGTCCAGGTCTCTCTGAATGGCAGCACAGCCTTCTGGTGTGTCAGCCACTCCTCCCAGTTTTGTGTCATCAGCAAACTTGCTGGCAGCACTCTCTAATCCCTCATCCAGGTCATTGATGAATATATTGAAAAGCACCTGCCCCAGCACTGACCCCTGACCCCTGAGGGACCCCACTAGACACAGACTTCCGACTAGACTCTGCCCCATTGACTACGACTCTGACTTCTTCCCTTCAACCAGTTGACAGCCCACCTCACTACTTGGTCATCCAGACCACACTTCCTCAGTTTACCTATGAGGATGCTGTGGGAGATGGTGTCAGATGCCTTGCTGAAATCCAGATAGACCACATCCACTGCATGGCCACCATCCATCCACCTGGTGATGTCTTCATAAAAGGCTGTCAGGTTGGTCAAACATGACTTCCCCTTGGCAAAGCCATGCTGACCGCACCTAATAACCTTCTTATCCTTGATATGCCTAGAAACAACACCAAGGATAAGTTGTTCCGTCACCTTTCCAGGGTTGGGGGTGAGGCTGACTGGTCTGTAGTTACCTGTATCTTCCTTCCTGCTCTTCTTATAGACTGGAGTGACATTTGCTTTCCTCCAGTCTTCAGGCACCTCACCTGTTCCCCACGACTTACCAAAGGTGATGGAGAGTGGCCTAGCAATGACTTTGCCAGCTCCCTCAGCACCCGCAGGTGCATATATTACAGGAAGAAAACCTTGCTCGTGCTAATTCAGCAGTGAAAATTATATTTAAAGTAGTAGAGGCTTCTCATCTCCTCTCTCCATCCTTTATTTCCTTCACAGGAGAAGTAACTCTTATAGCATCTGCTAAGAACTATGGTAGAACTCAGCTGTGTTTACAAGTTTTTAGCAGAAGTAGTTGTGTGTGCTGGCACCCTGTACTAATAGGATGTTAACAGTGTTTGTTCTTTGACTGGAGGGGAAACAGGTGTCTAATTCATCCACCCTTTAATGTCCTTCACATAGACTTAAAATTGATTGACTTGAATGTCTTTTATATGAACAGCAGTGAGGGTTGTAATCTGGTGTGGTTTTCTAATTTAACAAAATTCCCACTGAATTTTTACTGTGCTGTAATGCATTATGGTGATTTGACATTAAGTAAAGCTATCTGGAGCATGTACAGAGTGCAAATTAGGTCAGTCAGAGGTCCAGTTTTCTAGCTATATGCTTTGTAAACAACTTACTGCAATTTCTTAGCTTTTTTATGTTGTCATCTTGCTTGAGAAATTACTCTTGTTTCTTCTCTAAAGGTGAAACTCCTTTGCCAATTATGGTAAATTTAAGAATAGTTTCTCAACCTGTTAGGTGAAGTTTACTTCATGCATAAGCTGTAATAAGATATTTTTAGTTCTTGTTGCTGTATTTTTCTAACAGGTAGATGGTATTGTTACTAGTACTTCTATCTGATAAGCTGGTTTGTTCTGCTTTGTTTTTTTCTAGCTTCAAACCGATACAATGAAACTGTAGAATGATCAGTTTGTGAGCGCGCTCATCCCACATCCAAAAGTTTATTTTTGTTTCCTTGGTACAAAAATGAAATTACAACTGGTGTAGTTAGTGACTTACTTCCTTAGTAATGCATTGCTGTAATTTAGCTGAAGAACGATGTGAAACAAATAGAATTGTATCCAAATGATACAGACATCTCTTACGTTACTTCAGGATTATTTTCATGAGTTCTCTGCTAAATGGGTCTGGAACACCTAATGTTATTTTAGCTGTTCCCTCTAAAAACAATTGCATATTAACACTTGCTTGGTACTTCTATATTTTCAGAAAAATATTTTCTTCAAAACTTCCTGTTCTTCAGTCATGTTTAGTAGCAAGAGCAAATACTTCTAAAGTTATTAGATTGAGTATATGTATACACACGCAAAACCACATATATATTAGCAGCAAAGATAAACTATTATAGTTTTGTTAGAAAAATATTAATCACTTTAACTTCAATTTTAGGAGTAGCTTTGTTTATAAACACTTGGACAGATTGTTTCATGGGCAGTTAAGCCCACTATTTCCTTGTAGCTGACAGTATGTTGATGTTAGAGTTGGCATGAAATCAGCACATCTGAGCATATAACTGAGACTTCATTGCTTTTGACTGAGAACTTTGAAGTCACATGACACAAACTTTACAAACCTGCCTGAGACACATTTTGGAGTTGAATCTCAGGCTGTACAATTCCAGTGCTGTCAGTGACCAAGCTTTCTTAATTGCTCTTTTGCATGTGTCATACTCCTACAGCAAATGAATAATGCATTATTTTGAAGAAATTGGTTTTGAGTCCTTTTTATCAGCTTCTGTAACAGGCATTAGAGATGTCAGGTGCCATTGAGCTTTTGTGCTGATGCTTGAAAAACAAAACAGCAACAGCTCTGAGATTGAGAAATGCACTCTTTATCCATGGACAGCAATGCTATAGTGAAACTTCTCTATGAAAGAGCACAGAGGAGAAAAAAGAAACCCCTCTGTGCAACTGTGCCAAAGTCTTGGGTTGATTTGCATTGGTTATTAATTTATTTTATCTACAAAATAGTTTAAGTTGAAAAGGAATTTGACATCTAGTCCAAACTGATACTTAAAGTGGCCTCAATTAGAGCAAACTTGCTCATGGCCTTGTCTGGTTGAGCTTTGAATATTCTCAAGGACAGAGATTGCATGACCTTTCTGGGTGACTTGTTCCAGTCCTCAGTGATCCTTCTCGTGGGAAAAATTTTTTTCTTTTTAATCATTTCCGTTATGGCAACTTGTAACTATTATCCTTTCTTGCTGTGTCACCCTGAGGAGCGTGTCTCACTTCTCTATACCCTCCCATTAGGTAGCTGAAGACCACAAGATTCCTTCTTGGCCTTCTCTTCTTAAAGCTAAGCAAACACATCTCTCTGAATAGTGTGCTCTGGGCCCCTAATCTTCTCAATACCCTACTCTGGCCTCTGTCAGTGTCTTTCTTGAGTGGGAAACCGAAAATTTGACACAGTATTCCATATGCAGCCTCACAAGATGATTTTACCCGCTTGCTGTGTTCTTAATCATATGTATGATTAGCTCAGTATGCAGTTGACCTTCTTTACTGTCTCATACTGAAGCTGGTGTCCATCAAGATGCCCGCAAAGATCCTTTGCAGACAGCACTCAGGTTTTACTGCTTTACAGTGTTGATTTGTCTCATGTGCAGGACTTTATATTTGCTTTTGACTTTTTCTTCTGTCATAGTCTAGTGACTATTTCATTATGTGAAAGAATTGTGTTGGAAAATATAGTTATTGAAGTTACTTTAAATGTTTGCGCAGTAACTCATATATGGGAAAAGGTAAATGTATAGCTGCCTTATTTTGCCAGTGGCCTGAATAAGACAAAGTAGAAAATCTGCTATGTTTCTAAGGTAGTATCGTACAATGCTTGAGCTTGGCACTCTGTAATCCCTTCTGAAAATAATTTGATCTACCAAAGTGTGTTCCATAAATTTCAGTTGTGTTTCTAGATTTCACTGTATATAAAGTGGGACTGTAGAAAAAAATGTTATTTTTATTCCCTTTTAGATGTGTCTCTACTTTAGTCTGATACAAACGTATAATGCAAAGTCAAAGCAGTCTAAAGATCCATGGTAGTTTATTTGCTTTTTTTGTGCATCAGAATAACCCTGTTACCTTGCAAGCCTTCAAAACAAATTGAAGGAATGGAAATAATGCAGTGCAAAGTGATGCCTTTATTTATATCCCAAAAGCCATCTTTTTTCCCCTGGTCCTATACTGATCCTGACTTGCAATACAGTAGTTAGAAGTTTTACTGTTCATGAAGAAGCAAAGCTTGTGCATGACAGAAAAGATAACTATTTCTTCAAAAGCAGTAAAAGAGACACTAAGCCACTGCCATCAGTACCCTGTTAGAACTGTTGTATCTTGAACTTTATAGTGTTGCACTACAGCAATGAAGTCAGTTGCATGTTAGAATCAGACTAGGAATTACCTCTAATCACATCTTTCTCCCTTTGCCATTGGTGCACCCAAAAAATACTTGGCCATCTTAAAAATTAAGTGTTGACCTTCATGGAACAACGATGACTGAAAGTGCACTTCGTGCACTCTCTGTGGATGATGCAGGTCATGACACAGCAGGACATTAGTATCTGCTTTAAAGGCTACTTTTGTTCTACCTGAATGTTTGAAGGGAGCCTATAGCACTAATATGTTTACAGTATACCAGATAGGACTGATCTTGTATAATAGAAGTTTTTGCTTAATAGGAGTTTGATTTCTACGTGTTTAATATTTTTCAAGGGCCTGATTGTCAAAACAAAACAGAAAAAAAAAAAAAAACACACACACACATCAAAAAAAAAAAATGGAGAACAAAGAACAGAGGAACAAATCCACAAGTCCCAGGGGCCATATTCAGACAGAGCACAATCTTGCTTCAGCTCCATGGGAGCTGCTAGCTGTCAAAACCCTAGGCCTTTTTGTAGTTTGTACAAAAATAGTCATGATAAAATGAGGAAAAGGGTGGGATAATTATAGTATGCCTTCTAAAACCAGCAAATTGTAAAGCCAGACATCTTTCACATTCATTAAAATATGGTTTTGTTTCAACTCTGATTTTCAGAGCCCCTGAGTATTTTGTACAGCATGTACTTGAAATGATGAATTAAAGACTGTTAATGATAGGCTCCTTTTCTAGCTTTGAGCCCGCAGGCCGCTAAGAAAAACACTACAGGTCATAGACAGTGGAATCCATTCTACCCTAATGACTGTTTACTACTCTGTAATTGCAGAAGATGGGAGCAGGGCTTGATTTGTACAAATTTTCAAGTCCTCTTCCAAAAAAATCTGAAAATTGTTGTATTACTAAATTGGACTAAATTACTGTAATCAACCTTATCTTTCAATCCGTTATCCTCCTGGGAGGATTAGAAATGACATGTTGTGGTTTAGTTTTTTTAATTTAAAGCAGTTTTTTGTGAGGCAATTATACATGTGTAGCATACACGGAACTATGGAAGTTGCTACCAACGTTGTTAGACTGCTGGTGTTATAGATGGCTTTTCTGCTATGAACTGTCTGTCCTTCTTCCAGATTCTCTTGATGCCATAGAGAAGGGGTTAGAACATGTATTTTGAGATTTTTAGGACTAAAACACCAGTGCCTGTTCAAAGTAACATAAGTTCAGTAGGAGACCACTCAACACTTTATGCCTTATGTATTCTTTTGTTTCATGTTCTGTGCTTTGTCCAACACACTTGGATCTCACTAAAGTCTATGAAAAGCATTGAAAAAGGGTGGTTGTGCACCTAAGAAAGTTTAGAGGGAGCAGGTAATGTTCAGTGCGTACAGGAAAGTAACCTTTGAGGATAAATGAAAAAAATTCCAGTGGGAGGGTGGACATGTATGTGTGTAAAAGAAGAAAATAGAAACTGTTTGGTAGTCATCCTATTAACCTGCTTAAATCATCCATAGTACTGTTGCACACATTAGAACAAATTTTTAAAAATTGACCCCAAATTAATTTAGAAAATATTGTGCCTTTGCCTCACAACGCCTCTCCACTTTTCTCTCCCTCATATCCAGTCTATGCATTTAAGCTTTGCTCAGTGTTTTTCTTGTCTGGAATCACTTCTTTGTTACCCACATGTTGATTTTTTTGTTTGTAAAGCAGTAATATTCAAACAGTATAGCTGGTTTGTGCTATTTTGCTTTTATACATAAATCGGATTTGCTGCTGCAACTATAACACCCTTGTACAGGATCACATTGCTTTAGTCTTTGTCATGATTTCAGAAAGCAGTTAAATAATGCACTTTTAACATTTTTTTTTTTTTTTCCTCTTTTCTTTTTCTAATAGGTAACACCAGCCTTCAGACCAAAACAGGGAGCATCACAGTAGGTAGGTTCTACCTTCTCTCTGAGATCTCTTTCACTCTTGCCTTCTCTGTTCTAAAAGCTAAATATTCACAGAGGAACTAAAGAGGAGGTGGTTCCTCACAGGTGTTTCTGCCCTCGGTTCTTTCCAGCAGTAGCACCGATAGCTGTGTAGCTGGTGGACATCCCTTCCAAACCTGACTGTCAGCCTTTTGCAGCTGAGCAAGGCACACTGTCTAGCTTTTGATACCACAGTACCTGTCAGGCTCTGCCAAAGTTAGGCTGAGCCTAGGTGTGTCATCTTTTAGGTTAAGATGGGGTAAAAGGGCACAAGAAAACACCAAGTGTGCATCAAATGCAACCATTTTGCTTCTAACCCAGTTCTTGATCTTACAGTTGACAGTTGATGTCAATGATTAGCTATTTTTAATTTGATGTTTAAATCACAAAGCATTGCTCGTTGATGTTTTACGTGTTGGGGAGAAGGCCTGTAATATTTCAAACAGTGTTTCCAAACTATTACACTAATCATTGCTTTCCCTTCAGAAATAAAAGCAGCTCATAATTTTTTTTCAGGAACTTGAGCTTTTATGCAACAGGATAACTCAGAGTTACCAATTACAATGTACATTATATCAGTTGCATTATTCTGGGGCCTTTTCATTGACCATTTTATGGTACGTGAACACAAAAGTGAGAAACTCAAATTCCAACTATTTCTATGGCAGAAAATTTGAAGTAACAGAATCATAGACAAGGCTCAGCATCTCTTGAATGTACATAGAAGGATTTCCTCTGTAATATAAATATTTCCTATGTAAATAAACTTGGTTACAGGCCCAAAGACTAATGGTAGTAACCATAGTCACTCACTAAGCATTATTCAGGGGCGAGCTGTACTGGTACAACTCTTCTTATGTTTCTATGTTATCTCTATTAACATCCCTGGAAAATGAATGCAATGCACACTCTTATGAGTTAATCATTAAACCACAGAATTAAATTAAGCTCGTTAGTCCATTTTTCCTTCTGTTAAATAAACACTCTTCATATTCTATGAGTTTAAGTAAAGCTTTCTTAACATAGGAGGTAGCTTTTTTTTTTCCATCAACTGATGATGATGTTCCTTAATTAATCAGGTTCAGCTTAAAAGTTAAGACACATCTTACAGTTGAATAAACTTTGTTTTTCATATTTCAATTCTGAAAGCACTATTTAGACTCAATCTGAAGATAAGTAAACATCTTTTAGATTTTTATGGGTATTCCAAAGGCAAGTAACTTTTAAGATCCACTAGTTCAACTATAAAAGCTTGAGAAAGAAAATGTAAAATTCTAAGTGAAAGGTTTTTGTGCATTACAAGTTTACATCACAAGATAGTTCATTGGCTTGCCATAGACCTGACAGGGATTTGCTGGTAGAAATGGGAAGAACAACTCGGTTCTTCCAACATCCCTGGCTGGATTTTCATAGGGATGTAGTTAGTTATTTCATTGGAGGTAAAATTTTATCAGTTAACTGGAAAAATGCACTCATCTCTAGATTTTGGGGATGTAACCTTAGCTTTTGAGAGATTTATTTACAAGTGAAACTAAAATATAGTTGAGAGTGCTGGATTGTTTTTCAAAATATTTTGGGGCAAATATAAGTGACTGTGTTGACAGTTTCATGTATAATTCTGTATTGCAATAGGAAATAAATGCTGTTGTCTCTCAACTCTTTAATTTTTGGCTTTTTAAATTATTTATAGAATAGTGGGGTTTTGGTATTTGTGTAAATCTGTTTTTATTTTTTGAAGACTATACAAAATTCACTCTGATTTTAAACATCTGGCATATGACAGTGTTTTACACTGACATTGTTAAAATATGAAAGTAGGGATTGGTCAGGTTTTTTTTTCTATACTATGAACTTTGTTAGTCACAGACGTTGTTTTGCAACCCTATACTAGAAGCTTTCTACTTTAACAAATGTTCTGTGGGTTTTTAATGGATTTTAATTTAAAACAACCAGTCCTGGTTTTATTTCTAGTTTAAGTTACTACTATAAATTATCATTAGAAACATGAATAATCTTACAAAAAGTATTTTTATTTTTAGAACTAGCTTTAAAAAGATTGGTAAGTTCACAGGAAAACTCGGGTTGGAAGAGACCTCAGGAGGTTGCAGAATCACAGAATGGTAGAGTTTGAAAGTGACTTCTGGAGGTCATCTTGTCCAGACCCCCTGCTCACACATTCTCTAGTCTCCAACCTCCTGTTCAAAGCCACGCCAACTGCAAAGTTGCTCAGGGCTTTAGCCAGTGGTCTTGAAATTCTCCAAGGATGCAGAGACTATACAGCCTCTCTGGGCAGAGTGTTCAACTCCTTCACTCTCCTTAGTGTGAAAAATTTTATATTTTTTTTCCTTTCTGTCCACACTAAAACTCTCTTGTTTCATTTCACATCTGTTGTCTATCTTGCTTTCATCGTGCACCACTCAGAGGAACCTGGCTTTGTTTTCTTAGCAGTTCCTCACCAATACCAGGGCGCTGCTGTCAGGTCCTGAAGGAGTCTGTTCTCCAGGTTGAGCAAGCCCTCATTTCTCAGCCTCTCCTGATGGGGAAAGTGTTCCATGTCCTGACTGTCTTGATGCTTCTCTGCTGAATTCACTCCAGTTTATTGATGTCTCCCTTCTCTTAGGAGCCCTGACACTGGATGCTGTATTCTAGGTGTGGTCTAATAAATGCTGAGCAGAGAGAGAGAGAGAATCCCTTCCTCAATACGCTGGGCATGCTGCAGTTCATACTGCCAGGGATACCCTTGGACATCTTTTCTGCCAGGGCACACTGCTGGGTCATGTTTGGTCCTGCCAGAGTTTCCTTATTTCTCAGTCTTATTGGTATGGTCTGATTATGTGTTTTCTACTCAGCAGCCAAGTCAAATTTTCCCCTAGCAGCTGAAAAAACCCACCTGTTTTCGCTTACAGGATTACTTATGCTTAACCTAATTATGCATTGAAGACATTAATTTTCTTTGTTTGATATAGTCAGAAATGATAAAGCTTATGCTGATGTTTGCTCCCCTCTGAAACAAAACCAACTTTAACCGGATCATGGGCCACAGGGACTTGTTCTGGAAAGGAAAACTGCATATTAAGTTCCAACAGACTTTTTTTTTTTTTTTTTCCAAATATTTCTGTGCCAGTTTGCCTTATTTTGCTAAGTTTATTCAGTAACCTATGCTAGATGACCTAAAGGCTTCAGTGGCTTGCTGTGTGATGAGAGAGTGTCATCATACAGGAGTTCCCTAGCACTGAGAGAAAACATCAGTGTTTTATTTTAAGAAGGGAATCAATTACAGAAAACAATTATGGTTTTTAAGAGAGTTGTGGATAACTGAAAAATAAAGCAATAAGCAACTTGGCTTATTTAGAAGTAATGCTGAATCTGTGAGTTTTCTGTAGAGGATTCAGTTTTTAATATGTGATCTAGGGAATTTTTGATCTAAAAACCCCATTTCTGAACCCCATTAAAGGCATCTCCTGTACTTCTTAAAGTACAGCTCATAAGTACTTTTAAAAAAAAAAAAGTTATCCATGTACATACTTGTCCCTTAAGGATTATTTCTATTGATCTAGCCTTTGTCATCTGCTTGAAGTATGTGAATATCCTGTCTCTCATTTTAAGTGTCCTTCATCTTCCACCTTGTATCTCAGAGCTTGACCTTCGGTGTTCTACCAGTGACAGACCTGTAATTTTTTTCCTCGTTGTTCCCATGTTTTCTTCCACACCATTCTGTACTAAGGGTGCTGCTTTCCAGGCAGATTGGAATCAGCTGCTTTTCTCTGTCCCTCAGGTGTAAGGTTGTGAAAAACAAGTTCAACAAAAAAAAAAAAACAGCCAACCAGACTCCATTACTTGGTTTTATTGTCACTGTTTCCATATTCCTCTTCCCTCTTTTTGTGTCCTTTCAAATGTAGATTACATGGCATTCCAAACAGAGCTTATGTCCTGAAGAAACTGCTTCCAAGAACTGGAGCATAAAGTAGTAGTAGTGGTAGCTGCTGCCTGAGAACAATAGGGTTTTTCCTTGCAGCTTAAAAGAATAAACGTTTTAGCTTCTGTATGTGTTCTATTAGCAATAAACAGTTTTATATCCTATGTTTTATAGCATCTCATATTATGGCACTGAAGATTCTGGGTGTCATTACAGTAGTTCTTAAGTTTATATTGTACTTGGAGCAATATTCGGTGTTTTTTTTCAGCTCCTCATAAGATACATATTTCATACATGTAGAATGTATAGTTTGCTACAGTTGTCCATACCTACTAGTTTTTAGGAGAAAAATGGAGTACACCACCCCTTTCACCCACAAATGGGTACTTCTGTTCCAATACAGAGCTAACCAGTCTACATTCCAGACAGTAGAAATATAACTAGACATCCAAGTATGATCCAATTCTAATAACTTTTAAGAGGCACTATTTTTTCTACAGATGCAGCATCTGAAAGTCTTTCATAAGATGCCACAAATAGAAAAATAATTTTTTTTTTTTTTTTGAAAAATGGTTTTGTTCCCTCAGTAGTTTGGGTGCACCAAAAGCTCTTGATAACTGGATCCAAAACAATATTTTACATCTCCTTAAGTACTCTTGCTATTACTTAATATACATTAGGTACATTCTAAAAAATGCATCATCCTATAAATATCAGGTTTCTTCATTATGTTTCCAAAATGTTTCCCATTTTGGCCAAAGTTAATCTACATAAATTTGGCTAATGAAAATTTCATTTCCATGGATTTAAATCAAGAGAACAAAACTGGAAGTCTGAATCTAGCCTTACGTATTCATCCTTGGAGGGAGCAGCTATGATACAAAAGAACTGCCATGCATATTAAAATGCAGGTATGTATTTAGTGTTACAGGATAGTGTTTGTTTATTAAATCTGTAATGCAAAACCCAAAGTGTTTTTCCTGTTGGGATAAAATACCATTGCCAACTTAAATCACTCTGTAGTTTGAGTGTTTTTGCTTGAGTTGGTCATCATTCTCCTTACAGCTATTGATATTAAGGCTAACATTCTCATACTACTCCTTTACTAGTGTTACGACATATGAATTTTGAAACTGTGAAAATGAAATCCTGTTGTTAAGGGAAGGCTGTTATTTTTTTTTTTTATCTGTAGTAAAAAGTGTGTTTTAAAGCACTTGGCATAGAAAAGAAAACATAATGTTCAATGAATGTGTCTAGACTCAACAACTGAATGGTTGAGGTTGGAATGGACCTCTGGAAGTCATCTGGTCCAAACCCTCTGCTCATTTCTTTTGATGCAGCCCAGGATTCAGTTGGCTTTCTTGGCTGCACTCACACCTTGTTGTCTCATGCTGAGCTTTTCATCAACCAGCACACCCAAGTCTTTCTCCTCAGGACTGCTCTCAATCCACAGTCTGCCCAGCCTGTATTTGTGCTTGGTACTTTGCTGTAGTTTCTTCTGCTGTATGAAACTTTCTATTCAGTGGCATACTCTGGGAGTCAAAATCTGGCAAGTCATCTTCCTAAAACAGCATTCTCCAATGGAAAAGTGTTGCACTTTCCCTCAAGATTGTTCTTCGTTTTGTGTCTTTAACTTTACAGGTAGATCTGTGCATTGATGAGCCTGTGCCTACTACCCTCTTCCTGCATCCTTTTTTCGTGTTTATGCCTCCTGAAAACAGAATCCAGTCTCTCACAAAAAGAGCTTTTTTTAACATATATTAATTGAAAGTCTAGAAGAACACCTTGTTCAGTCTCACAGTGGGGCTGCTGGATTTGCAAAATGTGTCTCTCCACTGGGTTTGAGGAGTGGGGAGAGGGAAGACTCACTGAATGAACATTGGTCCCTGTAAAATACCTCAGCTGGTGGTGCTGAACAGACTGTTAGGTGTTCTCCCCAGAGAGGATTGCTGTCCTGTCACAGGAGATTCTTCTTTCTTGGTAGTGCAGATAGAGGAAATAATTACATGCTTTGTTTAAGGCGGAAGGGTCTGATGATGGTTGTTTCCTGTGCCTGTTGCCAACAAAATCTGTTCAAGATTATGTGGGGAAACAGGGATTGGCCTGTACTAAATTTGATCAGGAATATCTGCAAAAATAGCTTTAACATGGAAATTTAAAGTTATCACTGCTAAAAATGGTCATTTGATATGAATCAACATTTCTATCTGTTTTAGTGACTTTAACTTTCAAACTTAACTATTATGAATAACCTTTTAAACAGTCACCAATAAAATGTTACATTGTCACTTACATAAGCAAGCCCTTTTTTTCCAGTTCATTAACTTCAATTAATGAAGAATTTTATTTATTTATTTAAAAGAGAACTTTAACATAAAATCTGAGGTGGCAGAAACATTCACATCAAATTCTAGTTATTACTGTTTTCCTGTTAGCTGGATGGTCTCAGTTTCTCAGCTGAGATTGGTTACGTTTATTAAAAATTACTTTCCCCTCCAAAGAAATAAACTTTAGTTGTGGGATAATAATCGCTTTCCATGTTTTTACTGTTGTACATAATAGACTGATCTTTGACATCTGTGCTTATGATCTGGGACTGGAAAAGCTCCAGATGAGTTTTAGAGCTATGGTTGTGTGGCGAGCTTAAGGTATTAATGTTAGACATCCTTGTTATGATTAATCATGTTCATTCTCTCAGTGCTTTTAATTTTTTAAATGGGAAGCTTCACTCAGGTTTGATTTTGTTATTTTAGCTACTTCTGAAAGTTTGACTGTTTCTCTTTGTATGCACATCCAGAAACTAAGAAAAACAGTCTTTATCAATATTTCAGAATTTCTTGCCGTGCTTTCTAGTATTGAAATATCTAAAAAGATATTTTACTGACGTTTTGCTCATGTACATAAGTATTTTTTTTTTTTTAATGCTTGTCTAGAATTGCTTCATAATGTCTTTGCAAATTTTACCAGGTCTGTTCAGTAGCTCAGAAATTAATTCTTTAGGACTTGATTGTAATATTGTGGAAATTTATGTATTTAAAACTGGAATATGTTGCAAGGAATTAAAGACTACCTGTCAAGTATATAATTAAGGCTTCTTAAATGCTTTCTATCTGCAAAAATGTTACTTTTAGAAAGTTCTGTTACCATAAATTTCATCTAATGAGGTATAGAGGGAAATGTAGGCCTTGATATTCCAGGGCAAAGAACAAATGCTGTTTTCCTCGGTGTATTGAAGTGTTATCTCAAACATTTGTTTAAAATTCAGATGTAGTTGACCAGATTTTACAAAGCCTCATACCCAGTTCTGTGTAACAGGATGTCACAATGCACAACTGCTTGTTTGCATGGTGCTGTTTCCTGGGTAAAGTTCTCCTGGTGCAGTGTGAACAAAGGAACCCTTTTGCAAGCCTAAAAAGATCGTAGGATTCAAATTTTGTGCTTCATCTTTGCACAAAGATAAATTCATCCTCGTAGAAAGTGGAGAGTGTTGTTGAGGCCCTTTAGATGCTACCTGTCCAGTAACAACTGCAGGGCTATAGCTGTGGGACCAGTATATGCTACAGTTCTGGACTGGGGAGATAGTTTTGTTCAAAAAACTGTTTTCTAAAAATTAATTTAAGATACTTCTCAGACATAGAAGAATTCACAAAGTTAGTTCAGAACACAGGGAAAGATTCTAGTGAATTTTTATTTTAAAAGAGTGAATGATACACAAGTTTCTCTTTTTTTTTATTTCTTTTGTTTTCCAGATTCCTCAGATGGAAGTCTAAAAGCTTCTACACATCAGGGGACAATAGATGTTTATGTCAGTCAGTTAAGAAAAGTGGATCTGAAAACCCAGAAAGGTTAGCAAACTGAAGCACTTTTTTGGGGCACTTTGTAATGTAAAATTAAAGGGGATAATTTTTTTTTTTTTTTAATTTATCTAGGAAAATATAATTTGTTGGTTATCTACATTCTTTTTTCACCTCATTATTAGAAGATGTTTATAACTACTTATAATAAAGTAAACTCTGTAAGGAGCAATGATACCTTAAATGGATTACAGAATTTTTGTATTTTTCAAGACTTCTTTTTTTCCTGTCAGTGTATCTAGCAGAATTCTGCAGAGTTAACTTGGATTAGTCTTTCTTGAGCACAGTTTACTCCACAATACTGATGCATGTATGTGCAGAGTGACAGCTAACACACATTTACTTTTTTCCTGCCTTTTCTGAGTGAAATATCTCATTACTGAAACTGGAAGGCAGAAAGACAAAGATGAGGACCTCACCCTTCTATTCTTTTTTTTCTCCTGATTAATCACTAGAATTTCTTAAGCTCGATTCTGAAGCTGGATCTCAGTTTTGCCCTTCAGAATACATGATACTGTAAATGACAAAGTCCTGAATACACTTTGCTAGTCCTAGAGGTTTTGTTTATGGGGAAAAAACAAAGAAACAAACAGAAAAAACCCACAGTGTTTTTATACTTGACTGTAACTTCACTTCAGGCACTTCAGGTGGTTTAAATGACCGTGTTATTTGATACCCTTCTCTTGTCTGAGACAATGCCTGTGCCCTTTTAAAACCTAGCAGTCACTCAGAATGGGAATAATGTGGGAAATGCATCAAAATCACTTCTGTGCCATTCTTCTGTACAAGCTATTCTGGTTCCACTGGTGCAAGGAAAATTTATTTTTATGTTGTTTCTTAGTTACATTTTTAATTACTTTGTTAATATATCTTTCAATTAGTTGCAAAGAAGAATGTAACTAATAAAATTAATTAATGCTATTTTCAGAAACATTGCTTGACATTTCTTCTGGCAGCACACTTTACTAAAGGCAGAGTTGACAAAGTTCTGGTTTTGTTTACTCTGTAAATTCAGAGTAACTGTTGACAGCTGCAGTGTAGAAAATGTCCCGTTCGTGATGAATTAGCTGCATGCCTGTTGGATTTTATGAGTCACATCACTGAGCAGCTCTCCAAGGAGGACCCAAAGATGAAGACATTTTCAGCTTTTTTTATCCTAGGGCTTTTGTGTATCCGGCAGAATTTAGGCCTACATTATACTGACAGTTATTTGTTCATCAGGGCTGTCACAGGCAAGTGATTCTACTGAATTTAAATTGCATAGCTAGGCTTGCTTTCTGACTCCAGCTTAGTTTTTGTAACATCTGTTTTCTTATTATTTTCTGTTTCAGGTTTTGGGATGTATTTAAAGAGAACTTGTTTACATTTTTGTAAAGTGAATGTTGGATTTGGGCAAAAATAAAGTAGCACATATATAGAAAGTGTATTCTGAATTTTGGTAGCTTTTTATTTTAATGTGCAGGGTGCAGCTTCCAAACACTGATTAATTCCAATTATGACTAACGTGGGCAGCTTGGGGCCCAGCGTCTGCCTTCAGTCTGATACACAGAAGCACATATTTAGGGGACATAGAAGTCAGAATTTCTGGGTTTTATTTTCAAGGGCAGAATTGCTTGAGCTACTAAAGCTGCAATTTTTTTAGTAGTTTATGTTTTAGTGATACCTAATCTAAACTGGTCAGTCACTTTTGAGACTGCTTCTGTTCAAGGGTGTGAAGAGTTGGCCCTGTGCGGTAAAGCAAAGACAATTAAGTGGCACCTCAGTGTTCCAGAGGAGCAGTTCTTTCATAATGTGCCATGTAGTAGCTGGACTTATTAAATCCAATCCCCTGTCCTTGGTCAGGAGTGTAAATATGCAACTGGAAGATGAAACTAAATCATAGACTTTAGTCCTAATACTTGTGAGATCCATTACATTTGCTTCACTTCATTGTTCCTCTACCAAGAGCTGCTGCTAGCAGTATATATCAATGTGAATTTTCACGTCTGCCAAGGAAATACTTTGACACCACTTTCTACCTAATAAATGGTTCTAATAAATGAAAGTATCTTCAATTATCTTCTCAGAGACAAAAAAAAAAAGAGGTTACTGGGTCTGAAGGCTCTTAAAAATCCAAACTGTAGTTGGATTCAGGTGAGGGAAATGAAACAAGTGATTATGCTTTGATCTCAGTGTTAAACTAACTAGCTTTTGTTTCAATTTATGCCAGGTTCAATTACAGTCAAGGTACCTGCCTCTCTCAAAGCCTATTTAGAGTTGTCTGGAAGAAAAGTGGATGTGAGCTCAGAGATCCAGTTAAAAGAAACACAGCGTGCCTCCAAAGACGATCACGTAACTATAAGTGGTAAGGCTTATTAATCTTGGCTTCCAATAAATGTCTCTCTGGCCTTAGTCGAAGGCATCTGTGTTGCCTTTTGAGTTTATTGCTCTTGGCTTCTTGTTTCATCTGTTTCAGGTTCAAATGATTGCTTGTGCCATTGTATTCCCATGTTACTAGATGACTTTTTCATTTTATGTGGTACATGGTTTGTGAATGCAAACAACTGCTTTTCTAACAAAAACCTTAGAGCCAAAATCGTTCTAAGCCTTATTCCATTGGATTTGTGGGAGGTAATCCAGGGCTGAATTTGACCCATTGCTTTCTTGGCTTAGGCAGTCATGTGCAGTAAATCACATGGGGATGTCTTAAAAATATAATGAAATATTTTCTCTGTCTCTGCTGGGAGGAGGAAGTAAAAGAGGTATCTGGTGTGTTTATAAATGTACAGTATGAATGTTGAACGTGCAAGACAGGCTGAGAATTGATGGGTGGGAGATGTCTAGGAGAAGAGCAGAAGAAGCTGGAGCATGGAGGAATAGAGAGTACATGGAAAGGTACCTGCAATTAATGGGAGCATTCTTCTAATGCATTTACTATTGAACCAAGTCTTGCTGTTTCCTGCTTCAGAAAACAGTTGTACAGTGGATTGTCAGGGTGTGTATTTCTTTCCTCTCTGGACATGTCCATCTAGAAGTTCAGGCTGTTGCTGTTACCAATTACTCAGTTTGCTCCAGAGGAAACATTAACGTAATGTGTCTGAAGGCTCCAGCTTTGTTTTTAAACGTGTTATGTCAGTATGACCTGATACGATAGCAGATTGAGTGAGCCTTTGAGGGTTTTTTTTCTTTTAAACAGAAGAAAATATGCACAAAACTTATTTTCCCTCCCCACATAAGACGATAATCTCGGTCAGGAAATGTTAGATGTGTATGGACACAACGTTTAGATGTAGCCTGTGTATACAAAACAGTAGTCTTGAAACCTATAGGCGTATCCCTTCTTGCCTTGAACAGTGACTAGCATTTAAATTTACTAGGAGCTACTAAACATCATTTCTTTTAAAACTACGGTTAGAAGTTCTCAGGCTAGAAACCTGTGGAAGGACCCCCACTTCTAGCCAGGCTCTATGGAACGAATTGCCTCTGCAGTAAAACAGCCCTTCTCCCAGAGAGTGAGGACCATCACCTTACTCTGACAGCATTATGATGTTTCAGCTTCACACAGCTGAATGGCTGCTCTGGCTTCACGACCCCATCGGTGTTTATGCACGACCGTCACCGCTGAAGCAGACGCAGTTCTCCAGCCCACTGTTCTGCATGGAAGTGATCTTTGCAGCTGAGGTCAAAAGCAGACCTGATTAGCTAACCTTCAAATATACATATCCCAAAGGCATGGAAATTGGCAAGAATTATGCAGAGGCAACAGCATTAGGCTACTGATTATCTGATGTTTAAAGAGGTTACAGCATTGCACAAAAAATTTACTAAACATAGATCTAAATTTGTCATAATACAAGTGAATAAAAAATAAAAATAGACCCTGGAATGGATTTTCTGTAGGATACAATTCTGCGAAACTAGTGCTGGCCTGAAGTGACATCTCTTCATCTGTCTTTATACCTGGCATTTAGCTTTGGGTGTTCTTTCACATAATGCAACCAATGACTTATAGCAGCTGTCTTCTCCCTTCTCTTCACTGGTCAGTAAGAAGCAACAAACCTGAAAGGAGATGAAGAACTTGGCTTTAACATGTGCTTTGCTTCTTTTCTTATCATTTTGAAAGCAGCACCTCCTTTTTTTGTTAAGTCAGTAACATTCTTGTGGCATGGCGAAGGAGATGCTTCCAGCTTCTCCTTCACTTTACATTGTTCCTTGGGGACAGTGTGTTCTTTCTGCAGGAGAAGCACTTGTCTCCTATTTATCAACAATCCCTTCTTCTTACAGTTGATACTTGAGAATGTTCTTTTATGGTTAGATTCTGAAATAATGAAATCATTTAATATTTTCTGTATCACGAAAACATTATCCACTGTTAAAAGTTTTGTGCAGTCTATAGCTGTCCTGCTGCAGCTGAAAAAATATAAAATAGAGACAGAAGAGGGGTTTTGCCAAGTGGAAAAAAAAATGATGTATCACAAGAGCATGGCATTTTAGATTTTTATGCTTCTGAGCTCAAAGGTTAATTTAAAAATAGATAATTTTTTCAGAAAGCCAGTCCTCATGTGGATAACACAGGAACTGGCTGCTTTCATGAAGCTTGACTTGCTCCTGGGAATACCGTGAGAGATGTTGGAGAGGAGGCTCTCCAGCAGGAAGACAGGGTGGAGTTCTTTGACTTGGGTAAACATGCACCTAGTCTGTCACCTGCTGTTCTGCCAATGACCAGGCCCAATAAAAATGATACAGCCAGCAGGAAGATGAACCAATACACAGACTGTATTGTAGACAAGAAGGACATTGCATGAAGTATCGCTGGGGGTACAAACAGATCCATCAGCTGGTACATAATTGACGCCACCCCCAACGATCTCACAAAAGATGTGACTCGGCCCGCAACCGGTGGTACAGACAGAGACCCGAGGTTGCCCACAGTTGGCATGGGAAACAGCCAGACCAGCCAGTTAAATACATAAGAGAAAGGGGCTCACATGGCGACTCTCACCCGATCAGCCCGCGTTTGCAAAGGTCTAAACAGACCAGGGCCCAGCTCCAGGGAGAGTCAGGAGGTCTGCCCTGAACCAGGAAGCTCTGGGGAGTGCACTCCACAGACAGACACTCCTGACTCCCTGCAAGTGGTCCCAGCTTTTATCCCCAAGCAGACACCTGACCTTTGTCAACTCACTGCGGGACCCCTGGGGCTCATTTCCCTTCTGTCTCTCCCTGCAGGGCCGGCCGCACCCTGGGGGGAAGCTATAAGGCAAACTCACCACCTCTGTATGAAGGGCTGTGGGAATTACCCCTATGTCAACCTTAATTCAGGGCTCGGGGTTCAGACCCCAGCATTTCAGATGCTCGAGGAGAACCTTCCCTCCTCCTGTTAGAGCAGCTGTGATGTACATCCTCACCGTGTTTCACGGCTGCCACTGCCATGCTGAGTGAGGAAGCTGGTGAAGTGCTGTGCCACAAGCCATCACATCCAGGGTTTTGCAGGATAGCCAGGGAATAGAGAGGGATTTAGTCAAAGCAAGAAGATGAAAGCCTGGAGTGAGTGCTTTAGAGGTAGTGATGAGAGTGTGAAAGGGTGTTCTGCCCTCTCAGAAAAGGAAGGAACTTTCCTGCAAAACTGGGACACTCACTGAGGAAGGGAAGGAGCTGGAGAGCAGTGCCAGGGAGTTTACTCCTCAGAGTAGTTTGCAAGAATAAGGCATCTATTTCCATTGACATCAGTAGGCACTCTTAGAAGTAGTATGTATGGTATAATGACGTCTTTTATAAAAACAGATTTTGTATGGGAAGTGTTGGTCCAGCTTCCATCTGTGAAAACGTTTGTTCAGCTGCCTAGTTTGAGAGCGCTTGAGTAACTCCTGCCATTTTGGATGGTGATCATGTCAAGGCTTTCTTCTCCTTTCCCTGGCAAAGAGGGTAGGAAGAGATGATTCTGCTTAGTCCTTGCTGCTCAATGTCTGTGCCTTCCTTCCCTGTGCCTACAGGTCTGCCTGCACTCTTAAATCATCCAATTTAAGGAGCCTGTAGTGATCATTAATTATATCTTGAACTATGTATGATAAGAGGAAGGGTAGCAGGCTAAAAAGTGTCAAATATTCAGAAAAGGGGCTTAGGAGACTATCACAGCAAAGGTGTTACAAACATGTTGAGGTGCATGGTTAAAATGAAATAATCTTGATTTATAGCTATTTAGTCATTTTTCTAAGAAGTCCATTTAAGTTCGAAGTACACAGATAGGAATAATTACCTGTGAGTGCCGCAGAGGAGGAATATTTCAACAAAAACATCAGTAAATGGGAAAGAATAGTGTTACGCAGTTGCAAAAAATAAACTGTTTATTAACATGACTGTTCTGTAAGAAAATCAGAATAACCCCTTGGCTTTACATGGTATTAGTAATACTTTGATGGACAGTGTCCAGTTTTGAGTAGTGTATTTCAGAAAGGATGTGGACAACTGTAGAGACTCTGAAGGAGAACATATGATCAGAGGCCTTGAAAAACTGGTTTATGAGGGAAGACTGGAAAAAAGTGTTTTTTTGTCTAAAGAAGAGAAGACAGATGTGTTTTTCCAGTATGTAAGAAATTGCTGCAGAAATGAAAGACACTGTTCTCTGTCCACTGGTGGTAGGACTAGAAATTATGATTTGACTTTATGGTGAAGAAAACTTAGCTAAATAGTAAGATAAACTTTCTAGTAGTAAGCACTTGTCTGCTGAGGCCGTAGGACTGTCAGTCTTGGGGATTGTGAAGAACTGTCTGGGCAAGTGTGTGGGGTTAAATACAGTGTGTCCTTTCAGCCTGATTTCATCTCAAGTTGATGTGACCATGTGGTCCCACACAGTCCAAAGTAAGGTTGTGAGGCATGTGGATGGATAAACTTGGACTAAATGAATGCAGCCAGTGGGCATGCTTCCACCCACTCCCGTGGGCAGCTTGTCTGTTGACAGCTGTAAGCCTGTGGAAAGTCCTGCAGTCAGAGACTTTCTCTGGATCCTTGTAGCTGACAGTGTCAATTTCCAAACCAAATCATCCAGAATATACACCACACACACTCTGTTTGTTGTAAACCATGTATATCTTCTGTCTCTTGTGCCATGGACTCATCTGTTTCCAGATCTTTCTCCATCCCTGGCCCCAGTTCTAGTGCCAAGTTCATATCCAGCAGCAACCCTTGACCTGATGCTATCCATCTGCTTGCTGCTGAGTGAGCTTTTAACTTTGGCAGTCGTTCCATCCGGGTTGCAGCACGTGGCGTGAGTTTCCTTGGTAAAAGTCCCACAGTGTCACAGGTGCTTCTCAGAGGCTACGGATGCCTGTCTTTGTATTGTATGGAGAAAGATCCTTGCTTTCTCAAGCTGGCAAACCAGCCTCTTCATATTTTTCCATCCTCTGAAAAAGAACGTACTCTTTGGCAATGATTGTCCTCTCCCAAGTCAAGACATTTGTGCTCCATATTTAATCCAGGGTAACAACAGTTGCAGCAGTTAACAGGACTTCTATCCTTTGGTACTAATCCCACCCCATCTACAGTGCCACAGGTTTGCTGAGCCATGTTGGAATAGTGTTCCTCTTGGGTCCATGTCTTTTGGTGGCCATGCACACAGGTAATGGAGCACTGTTACCTGTTTTTCATGTTAATTTCCACCTTTCCTCAGATGTCTGTCCTGGGGATGGAGAGGAATGTCCTGTTATTCATTCTCCTGTGAAAGCTTCCAGATAGATGTTGTCTCTTGATCCAGCATCCAATTATTCTTTTGATCACTAAAAACTCCTTAGGTGTCCCTCTTCCTTATGTGTCTCCGGAGAGAATCAGCCTATGTACTTACCAGATTACCTTGCATAGATGGGGCTTGATACCACTGTTCTAACTGTGACTCTCCAAGATTCTTTTAATAACTTCAAGTCTTTTCACTGTTTGGTTCTCCAAGTAGGCTGTGATGAGAAGCACCTTTCTCCTTACAACAGGCATGCACTGAAATAATAAAGCTTTCATGTCTGTGTGAGGTTAGATGTGGATTCTCTTCTGGAACATAGGGTATCTAGACAGATGTTTCCTGCCTTGATGTCCTTCAGAAATAACTTATTTCTCACTGCTCACAGGATGGCTCCTCAGCCAGTAGTACTGGGAGAGCAGCCTGCGAGGTGCTGTGGATTTGCCCTGTGGGATTGCTTCAAAGCCAGTGTGAAAGGAGGGAGCTGACTGCACGAGCCTCACACACTTGGGTACAAGGCTTTACAGGTGTGTTTAGCTGCTTTGGCTACCATAAGTTCTGTATTGTTTACTTTAAGGTAATTTCAGTGGTTTTAGCTGCATGGAGTTCCAGGGTTAAATGCAAACAGAGCTGACGGGGCAGTGAATAATGCCAGGCAAGCAACTTGCCTTTAAAAGGGAAGTAACTGAAAGAGCTGTGCTGTGGCAGTCTGCTGAAACTTAAGTTTCTTCTGAAAGTTAACAGCTGTCCAAGTGCAGGGAACTCCTTCTCCCACTCTGCAGCTGACTCAGAGATCTCAGGAGTAAGACTATCCACTGCTGTGACCCTCCCTGCTTTCTCTCTTCTCAAGACACTTCTTCAAAACTTTCCTTCTTTCCTAGAAGCAATTTTTATTGACTCTCTGCCACTAGAGTTGAGTGGGAAGAGTTTTGTTTTACAGTGTCCCTCTAAACACTGTCCCTCTGTGAAGCCTTGATCTTTAAGCAGTATCTTAAAAAAACAGACAGATGCAGGTTGTATCTGGAACAGATTACATTTCTTCAAGTCAAATAGAAAGTTCATCCAACTTTTTATAAAACACATTACATGAGATGCTGTCCTACAGATTTTTATTGGTTTGAGCTTGCATTTAACTCAAGCTGTTTCATAGCCTTTTTGAGATACACCACAGTCCTAACACCAGCGAACAATGTTTAAAATATGCTGCTGTTCATGTGTTTTGTGATATGAAAATAGTGCTCGCTTGTAACTTTTCCAGTCTCCAGGAAGGCAAGTGAGTAAACGGTCAGTACTTGACTGTGGAAAGTTCTGCAAAGCTGGTTCCACACCATGTGTGGAAAAAGAAAAAACAAAACAACACCGCCACCCCCCCCAAAAAACCACACCTTTTTCTGGGTGTTAAATTGGCAAGAAAGCCACACAGCCTCTGCACAGGTGCATATATTTATTCCTGAGCTCATGCTGTTGTCTTGACTGGTGGGTTTTGAAATTTTTTCCTCCTTATTCTCAATCCAGCAGGCTGTTGGCTTTTGTGATTTAATCACGCTAGCAAAGTAATCCTCAAAATCCACTTATGTTCCCACAGTATTCAGACTACAGGCAGTGAGTACAGTTAAGACCAAACTGTTATCAAAAGCTCTCCAACTAAACCTTGTTGCTTCATTAGTGCCTCATACACAAAGTTATTTAAATAACTTAAGCTTGATTTGGACCTGCTACTGGTGATGGGCTTAATAACCTTGAAATAGTTTGAAGATCTTCATCCCTAGGGAGTGGAACTTGACACTGACTTTCCTGAAGGCAGTATGATATTTTCTGCATTCCCTTCACAGGCAAATCGCCAAAAGAAACATAAGGAACAAAATATTTTTCTAAGTTCACATAGCAAAATGAGAAACAGAGCTCAAACAACCCAGTTCTAAAACGGTTCTTGTGAATTTGTTTCTGTGTATCTTCAAAATTCTTCTTTAACTTCTAAGCAAAAGGGTGTACCCAGTGCATGAAAGGGTTGATGTGCAGGGCTGATTCTGTGCTCCTCTGTCTGTTCCGTGTGCAGATGTTGACAAACGCATGAGAGAGGAACTGGAACCTAGCACTCCAATATGCACTTCTGGAGATAGAACTCTGCCCTACATCTGTGTTCTCTTGCCTTCAGAAAAAAAAAAAAAAAATCTGTCTTTTCAGTGCTCTACAACTCTGGGGAGGGATCAGCTGACATTTTCCTTTACACTTCTGTGTTGGTTCATGGATTTTTGACACCTGGGGGCTATTTCCTGTTTAAAAATCAGACTGATCTAATGTTTTAAGGGCTACCTCTACTTAAAAGACACACTTCATTTTCATTTCTGTTCCATATTCTCTGATTCAAACGTATTTCAAAGTGATGATTCAGGAAAGTTTTCTGAGGAACTGAGGTTTCAGATTTTAGCAGATTTCATATACAACTCATTTGTCTAACTTTGTGATGATCATCATAGATTTAAGTCTGTGATTAGACAGGGAGTGGAACTGGGGATTCTGCCTTACAGTCAGAATGTGATTGAGACTGCTGCTGCCTGGAGCGATCAGGAGGAGTGCAGAAATCGTACTAGGACATGCACATGGAAGTCCCTGGAAGCAAGGTGTAGTCTGACAGAACGGACACTGAAATACCGCTCCCTTCTGTGGGAGAACTCCGTCAGTGCTGGCCTCCTCTGGCAATCCCATACGCTAAGCAGTGCCGCGGCCTGCTAGTGAATTGATGTGGGTTTGGCCTGTAGCGTTAAATCAATCCCCCTCAGAAGTACAAAAGCACTGAAATACTATTGAAATGTTCTGGCACATAGGCCTGAGTTGTGGCAGCTGATGCAGTGATGTCAGCTGGATTTTTGCCGCTGTTTTTGACATGGCCAAAACTTAACTTCAGCTGTGTTATAGGTCAGAGCAGAGCATGTTTACAAAGTTGCTTCAGAATCTGCTTCCCTGCCATCCTTCATGCTATTCCAGGCTCAAATTAGTTCTAAACTTAGAATTCACTCAGTCACTCAAATCCTAAAGTAATAATAATAAAAGATATTTTGTAAAGATAAACCAAAGCGAAGGTTGATCTTGTGATAAAGGCACCTATTTGGGACTTAAAAGATGCTAGTTTAATTCCCATTTTGGTCATAAGTTTTCTTGGAAGGTCACTTGTTCTCTCTTGGCCTCAGTTTCTTAATTGTCAAATGAGGGTAAGTTGAACTTTCTCTTTTGTCTGTTACACAGCGAGCTTTTCAGAGCATGGCCACGCATACTAAGTTTGTGAAACATAAGAAGACAGACATCTCACAGGGTTTTTTTTAAGCCATTATCAGACAGCAGTATTAGTAGCAACATGTCTTGTCATCTGGAAACTCAGGTGTTACAAGTCCCTTTTCTGTGTTTACAGTAAAGATGAAAACTTCAAATTACTTAGCCAGACTGATGTCTGTGTAGACAGATGTACTGGGTTTGTGTGTCAAGGTTTAAGGTAGTGGGGGGCTCCTGGCGGGACTTGTGACCCCATGGGGGACAGTTTGTGAAGAGCTGTAGCCTGTGGAAGGACCTGGCATTAGACTGTCTCCTGTGGGAGGGCACACGGGAGCAGGGGAAGAGTGTGAGTCCTCCTCCCTCTGGGCAAGAAGGAGCAGCAGAGGCAGCGTGTGGTGAACAGGCTGCAGCCCCATTCCCACCCCCGGCACTGCTGCAGGGGAGGAGGTGGCAAAATCAGGAGTGAAGATAAGCCTGGGAAGAAGGGAAGGGGAAGCTGGTTTTAAGATCTGGTTTTATTTCTCTTTATCCTACTCTGGTTTGGTAGTAAGTTAAACTGGTTTCCCCAAGTCAAGTCGTTTTGCCCATGAGGGTAATTGGTGAATGATCTCTCCCTGTCCTTATCTTGACCCACAAGCCTTTTGTTCTATTTTCTCCCCTGTCCAGCTGAGGAGGGAAGTGATAGAGCAGCTTTGGAGGGGACCTGGTGACTGGCCAGAGTCAACTTACCATAATGTATTTTCTAGGCCAGAATAAAATCTACAGTACTATATAACAAAACCCAGCAATTTTATTGTAGTAACATATTATGGGAAATTAGATTAATGCAAAAAAACTGTATCAAGAATGAAATTTCAGAAGCCCCTGCTAAAAATGTATAAATTCTGCCAAATAACAAGTTTTTATAAGTATTTCCAGGGAGCTTGAAAAAAATGGCAATGTGAAGGTGATATATTTACTGTGTGTCAAATTAAACTAAGCAGAACTCTCTTTTCCAGGTCACATGAATCAAAAGAATGAAACGGACAAATGGATTAAGGCTGACACACAAAATGGCAAAGTGTATCTTAAAAGCCAAAGCTGGATCCAGTCTGTCAAGCTGAAGAGTTCTTAAAGGTGAAATAGGCCAAAGAGATAAAAGCAAGAAACTGAAAAGGAACATTTCTGTAAAATTTTGAAACTTTGCTGATGTATATTAATATGAGAGAAACAATATTAAAAATTAGGACATCTTAACCCAACATGTGCTCATGACAGTGGCTGGGGGTTTAAACCCCCCGCCTTTCTTTTTTTGTGTTTT